CCAGTGTCCTTTGCACCCATTATAACCGATGTGGACATTTTCAAAATGTACCATTTTTGTAACAAACACATGATAAACCAACAACAGCTGTGGCAATAAGGGATTTTTAAACAAAACGTAGTGAACTTCGGTCTGCAAAACTCGACAATGCTTTGAAAATAGGTGGTTGAGGCCACCTGCATGGAACCAACTGCATGGAAAAAAAGGCTTGATCACGACATATTAACAAGTCCTTTGCATCACTGCATTTATCGCTCGCTGAATCCTCTGATCATGTGCAATGGGCTTTTCTCTCATGCTCAGTCCTGTTGGACCTCTGTGGTATAATGGTCCAGTATTCCAGTATAATGGTCCAAATAACAGCATTACTTAAAATTCCCCCAAAACAAATTATTTTAAAGATACTGATTGGAAAACATATTCTAATTCTCCTAAAGTTCTCTCCGGAATTCGGAATCAAGACTTTTCTCCTAAAGGCAATATAGCTTGTGACTGTACAGCATGAATTATAATTGTAGACTCGCTTTTCCAAAAATAGATCTTTGCATTTCCTAGAATTCACCCCCCTCCCAGCAGGGTCCTTGGAAATCTTAAAAAAAAGGGGTTTTACCCACTGTGTGCACTGAATGAATCTCTCATTCCACGACTTCCATCATAGATCGAGACCGCTTTGCAATGAGCTGTCTTCCACTTAACAGGCATGGTTTTAATTGACACTCTTAAAAAGTACACTCTTCAACTCACAGTTGAGCTCTCAAAAAATGGTGGTTTTGACCCGCTTATTAGTCAAGAGCTTCTGCCTCACTCCAATCATCACTGCAGTCCACCCCCTTGAATTCGGTCCTCCTTAATGCAATCACCAGCTCTCTGCCTCACGACCCCAATCAATTCTGCTTCGTGAGAGGCTTGTCTGAGCCTGTTTGCCTCCTGGTGTTCGGACAGTACGTTTCAGGCTATTTCACGTAGTGGGAATAGAACGTAACTGTTGTGTAGGTTCAGCTCTTTTCAAGGAAACTGAAAGTGAGTGAAACTCGTGACATGACCTGCTTTGTTCTTCTATTTTTACTTTTGATATCATTGATTTAGTCTTGCCATAAGAGGTCATGTACACCTCTAGCCCTTGTTACAGCACGCTTAAAGAACCCATAAAGAGCTTAGAGTTTAAGATTTAAAACACTTTAATGTCACTCATCACACCTCAAAGAGATCAGCTGGTGTTGCATGCGTAGACCTGCTGTTTCTGTGGGCAACATATTTAATTTCTTAGTTATTGTATGACTAAATATTTTTAAAAAATACATACAAAATGGGAACAGCATTTCAAGCAATTGAATTGAATTAACCTTTTATTGCCCCTAAGGAAACTGTCTTGCACGTCGAGAGCTCATAAAATACAGCATAACATATATCACAGTAATATAATACAGCAACAGCAGAATACCATGATACAAACAACACTTAACATTGCTAAGTCAGAACTCATTCCAGTATCACAAGATTGAAAACAGACAATTAGCTGGTAAAGTGTCCAAAGCAACAATAATAATAACGAGATTAATTACTGTATACTGTATGGCTCTCCGTGAGCCATGTTTTTGAGTCCAAGGGTGCACTGGTAATCTTGCCACCAGTTCTGATCACCTCCTTCTGCAAGGACAAGGCACCTCCCCAGCTCTGAATACCAAAGGTTAGAATGCTCTTATACAAATTTGTGATGGAGAGTGATGAACAGTGCCAGGGGGATCCCAGTTACAGTGAGACCTTATAAGGGATTTATATAGTTTTTCTGAAGGCCATCAAAAGTGTGAAGTGGGCCTAGTAATGTAACAGCCTAGAATGAAACATTCTTGTTCTGTTGTCCTTCCCTGCCTCAAGCTTTAATGATCCATGGATTGTCAGCCTCTCTGCACAGAAGGATGCAATCACAAGCCACTGCGACGCCTGAATGAAATATCAAAGCGAAAACAAAAATTTCTCAAGAGGCGGGAGCAGCCGCTGCTTGGAAAACAACAGAGGAGCGGAGTCTGACCGAGAGGCGTGCAGGCACTCGGACTCGATCCCCACTTGGCACGATACTGACTCATCTGAGTCATTGGACATTTTTCCTACCACTTACAGTACATGCTAGACCAACATGAATAATCCGTTCTCATCTGAAATGAGCAAAAAGGCTCATACTGCTGTTGCTCAGAAGACCTAGCAGTGTAAGAAAGAAAAGAACGATCACAGGAAAGTAAATAAGAGAACATGACACAGCATACTACCTGCAGCCCACACCTGCAGAAGGCTCCCCGGCCGAAACGTGTTTTCTCTCTTCTCTTTTCAGCATGAAATAAACCTATTACTTCTTCCTTTGCAGCCTACGCATGCTGACGCAGCTCCCCACCTGAACTACTACAGCATACTATAGTATATTAACACTTAACAGGACTTGGCAGTGTTAACAAGACCAGTCGTTGGGAAGGAAAGATTGAAAATGTTCTCAGATACAAAGCTGGATAGTTTAAGCAAACTGTCCGGGTCACTCCAGGGATTAGATTCAACTCGAATCCAAAGTTGGCTGTTTAACAAAAGTACTACATTCAACACGCTTACACGAATACGTTAATGTTTAATTCTGATGCTGTTCATCAATAAAATATAACATGGATGTTGTAGTGGTGTAGTGGCACTCTGCGTAACCTTTGTTAATGTAGTCTCGCAATGTATAGTTAGGTTTTGCAACTTTCTGGGTCTACTTGTACATGCAGTCTTCGTATGTGACGCACGCAACTGTGGATTTACTTGAAGAAAGGGGGCCTGCCCACTTGGTGGATTTGTCATTGAGCAATTTTTGAAGCTGGCAGCCGGATCTGAGCTGTGATTAGAATTCATAAGGAAGTCCCATAGATTTCTCACTGTAAATAACACCGCTAGGCCAAAAATCCAATTTATCTTACCATTGACTAGCTTATTATAAGCTACACTGGCACTATATACAGAATGAGAGAGACGAGTGAGTCACAACAATGAAATATAGAGTTATTATTACTTTCCTTTTTTGTCCAGCTTGGTGGAAATTGGATTCAAAGAATACTTTATGACTTTATTTTCGAATCTCAGATCTCTCAGAATACCACTCATTATTTAACGTGACAGCTCAAAACATACGTTTGTGTTATTTCCTTATAGCGACGGCTATTTCTAAAACACATTTTCAAATGATGTTGTAAAGTTCCTGCACAAAGGAAAGGAATTTAAATGCACGCTATTCTTCCAGCTATAGTTGCAAATCTGTCAAATTCGTTGTCAAATCTAGCAAGACGGACTGAGGTTTGCCAACAATCGATCACCAGTTGTACATGGTACTGTAGTGCAATGGGTAGGCCTTTGGACTCATAACTGTAAAGTTGTGGGTTCGAGTCCCTGCTACAGATACTGCTGTTGTACTTAGAGCAATGTATGTTGGTTCAGTCCACCCAGTTCTATTACTGGGGACCACTTGAAAATGGTCTTACTAAACCACAAGTCAATAAGATCGCTGCCATTACTTCCTAAGAAATGCCAGCAACCAGAAAAGTACTTTGATCATTTCTTGGCTTAGTGGCATTGTATTGCATCGACTGTATTGCTTCAAACCTGATTTTGCTCAGGTTATGACTCCCTTTGAAAACGACTTTGCAAAATCATTTAAACGCCTCTAAACACAGCACTGGGGCAGTATTATTCCAGGATTGTGGAGGACAAGAATATCCCATTGTATTCCTACCTACATTACTACCTAGTGAGACTTGGTACTCAGCCCTTGAAACACAATGTTTAGCCATCACACAGAGATCGGAAAGTCTCCATTATATTTGCTGGTGAGACTATTTACCTTGGAAACCTATCATCTTTAAATGATAGCTTTAAAATGGTTAAAATCTATGAAGGACAAGAACCATCATTTGATATACTGGGCTTTGTCCTTACAACCTTTCCATTTCAAGATTACCCATTGTCCCAGTGTTACCAGTAATGGTGCAGACCTTCTTCTGAGGCACCCAGTCTCGAATCCTGAGCTAAGACACAAATAGATTGAACAACAGATTTGGCAAATTATATATATTAAGGAACAAGTAATAGGTTTATTCCATGCTGAAAAAAAAAGAAAGAAAACACAACGTTTCGCCCGTGGAGCCTTCTTCAGGTAAAGCATTACTTCAGGTAATGTATATTAAGGCCACTAACTGATGGATTCTCACAGAAGTCTGATTCTAACCTGATTTTTCTTTGTCTTGTTAAAGGAAGGAAGCCATGAGTCGAAAGGCTGTGTTACTGCCCTGCCCGCCTGGCCTGTGTGGCCTGGCATTAGGTACTGTATTTTAAAAGTTCATTTGTTTTAAATATTTACTGTATGTGGAGTTGTTCTGTGTGTTTAATGTGTTGCCTAATGCGGATCCACAAACGTGTCTTGTGCTGTGTGTTCCACCTTCTTGGATCAGGCTACCTCTCTCTGCAGCCTCTCCCTGTTTAATGGGGTTCACCTATTAGTAGTGTGGGACCTGGGATGGGGCTTAGTGTATTTAGCCTCGGAGGGGGACAGAGAGAGCATTTATGTTTGTGTTGTTTGGTGTGTTGAGTCTTTCTCCTGCCTTGTATTATTCTGTCTACCAGAACAAATTCGAAATCATTTAACTTTATACTTTGGTGTCCTACATTTTTTCTCCTGTTGATCAACACATAATATTTTGTTTTGGGAGAAAGCGTAAGCTATAGTCTCGCTTGTCAGCCTCAGAGGAATTAAGACACTGAAGCCTGGCAGATCCAGACCCCAAACTGCCTGATACTGCTGATCAAGTTCTTCCAGTTCTTGTCACACAGTCCCCTACACTACAGCACGCATTCAGAAGAACATATGGTATTAACACACTGCCACCCTTACCGATCCCAAGAGAAATACAGCTCTTTCAATGAGACAAGTCCCCTTTCCCTCTTTCTGCTGCACGTGTTGCTCTGTGGGCTCGGCCAACCAGTCTCACCTGTGACTGCGATAGACGTTAAGCAGAATGATGAGAAGAGCCAGACAGTAGCAGGCGGCGTAAGGGCATCCAAAGACTCTCGTGAGACCCTTGGTTCTGTGTTCCCATCTGGCCACCTGTAAAGCACAGCGATGACATCATCATCATTATCAAACAGCATGAGACCGGAACATCGGGGTCTAGACTTGACCCCAGTCTGACCCCGACACAGGTTTGGAAAAACAGAATAAACAGGGACCAACTTCATCATATGAAAAAAGTTTTTTTATGGACAATATGAATATAATACTGTAATATAATAAGGAGGAACACGTAAAGGTTAATTCCATAGGAATGAGCAGCCAGTACATTTCCAGGTCTGGACCTCTAGAAAGTAAAATATTTTTTATATACTATCCAAAAGGACGGCATAATTTGTCATGCTGTTTGTTTGTAAGGCATGTACATTTAAGATCCAAAAATGAAATCCCATTTATTTCCCACAACAGTAATGACAACTCAGTACAGTCGACTCTCAATTTATGTGGTCGGCTCTGGAAAATAAAACATTTTGAAAAAACTCTTTATTCTCTGAATAAACAGCGAACACACCTCACACACGCCTATGAGAGCTAACTAATGTGCTTATACAGTCTTTTATTTACTGTTTTTATATTTCTATTTAATATATTGAATTACCCTAAGAGATTAGTAGGGTTTTTTATTAGGGTTATAAGAAAACATTTGACTACACACTATTCAAAATCCCTAACCCCTGCGTAAGTTATGAGTCGACTGTATTAGAAATTGTCAGTCAGTATGAAAACACTGTTTCTTCAGATATTTTGTTTTTCTAAGATGGAAAATCACAGAGATGACAGAACAGGGTACACTGAAAAACCTGCTGGAACGGGTCAAGCTGCCACGCTGTGAGAGCTCTGCCTCAGTCCAGCACAGCGGGATATTTTTAAATAAAGTCAAAGCAAAAGTGAGCCATGCACTGATATGCAATGCTCATTGGAATTAAGTAAGGTACTCCACTAAATAAATTGTATTTCATAAGTCTTTATGAAGCTGTGAACTGGTGGTATCAGAAGTCACCTGGATAATCTGTATAATGTGTTGGTTTTCTGATTGGTTTCACACCCCATTACTAAAGTCTATTTAGACACACCAAGTACTTTTGGGGTTTACTTATTCTCCAAAAGATTTGGAGAAGTTGTGTATTATGAATTAGATTAATCTCCAATACAGTTGTCTGGCTGTATTGTTACAAAATTAATACCTAAACAAACAGACAATCACCAGCTGCTCTAATGAATGGATTCACCCTAAAACCCTTTATCTGTGTAGAACAGTAATTCAGAAGCATAGATGCCCATCTGTTGCCGTGAAAAAAACAAAAAAGTTCATTATTATTACCAGAAGAGTTTAGATCTCAAATAAAGTGCCTGAATAGAAGCTGTACAGGTAAGTTCTAGGTCTCTGAAGGACTCTGAAGGATCAAATTATTTTTTCTCCTCAGTGTCCATGAGTATAGTTCTCATCTGTTGCACTGTTATGATTACGTAATTGCAAATAAGTGTAATACAGAAACTAGGGCAAGCAGTACAATGTCTTCTCTTGTATACATACTGTAAAAAAAAGCAGAATAACACAATGGCATGTCGTTTTTTTACAGCAGACAGTTTTGAAAGATTTCTAAATTGCAGAAGTGAAATGCTGTTACTAAGAAAAGGAGATATGTAATACTTTTTGGACTATTTACTGCATAACTTATATACTAAGACAATTAGTATAAAAATGCTGTTAAAAACCTAAAACGTATTTTTCACAAAATCAACATACTAGAAACACTTACATTATTAACACAATCAAAGTTAATTGCAGTACAACACAGGTGAAAAACCCCTTTCTCAAGAGTCCAGCTGTTCATATACCACAACAAAAACACAGATGATCTTTTGCTACATGCTGTACAATCCCACTGAAAAGCATTTTAAATCCATTACCTTGAATGTTTCTATTGCAGTTCTTCCTGTCCCTAATTATCATGTATGTGTAAACCTAAACATTACATCAACAACATCTGTTGACAAAAAGAAGGTATTGCAATTATACCAATGTACCTACAAGCACGGAAACTTGATGAACGCTGGGATCCTTTTATCTTAAACAAGAATTGGTCTCATGTACGCTACAGTGTTTGAACTTAAGTGTGAGTCTGGAAATGCAGCTAATTGCCACATTCATCTAAAAGCCATTTTCCTTCTCATGTCCTAATCTTCCCCTTGTGATATCATCTGTACTTCAAGGTGATAACAATTGAATGAAATGTACGTTTTCCTGGGCTCTCCATAGACTGTTATTTCTCTTGTTCATGTAACAAAGCCTAGCTCATATGAACAGCTTTTTTTATTATTCCTGCGGTTCCGTTCTCATGTGGCAATCTGGCAAGGCTGCATTGCTTAATCACAAACTGCATATATTTGCAGAGATTAATGCGAACCGTGAGCTCAGAGCATTATGAAAAAGGAACAGAACATGCAGTGGTCATTTACGTGCTGTGCCTAATCGAGCCATAATTTTGCAGGTTTTTTTTTCTTTTTTCAAGTTGGCATTTAAATGCTCACGGTTTTGACACAGTTAAAGAAACGAGATAAGGTGGTGGAGCAGAAATTCTGAAGTCAAGCCCACTTATTTTGTATACCACCTTTCAAGGAACACATGCTGTACATAAAATGCAGTTTAATGCAAAAAAAAACAAATTAAAATTGCTTAAAACATAAATAAAAGAACAATAAATGTATATAAATGGTTGCAAAACTAATACAATATACTTTCACAAAATGTGGTGCATGGAAATTTGTATACCTACATGCAAAGTGACCAAGTGTACTCAAAGAAATTTCAGTTTATTCACTAATCACCAACCCAGAACATTAAAACGAAAATGTATATAATGATGGGGGATAGATTCTCCAAATTAGCCATAAAACTATAAAGGGTGAGTCTATGAACAATCTATGAAGAAAACATGTTGCACTCGTATATACAGCAAACGTAGTGTATATTGTATGATCTTCTGAGTCCAGACTGATGCCTCTATATCCCATTGAAGACGCATAACTACTGTACGTCTTGTGAGCACTGAGGTGGGTTTATGTATTTGTTGAGAGGAAGGAAAAGAGACTTTTTAAAGAGCTGCTACCGTAAAAAATTAAAAGGCTATAAAACATAAAAGTTAAAAATACCTTTCAAATATTTAATAATTAAGAACTAGGTTCTGTAGGTGCTTGTATGTCTTGTTTTTTCAGTCTATAGCAACAATCAGTGCACAGAGGTATATGTAAATTATATCTCTGGAGGTAGGAGTGTACCTGCTTTCTTTCAAAAGCATATTGTTATAAATTGGAAAGTAGAGTCTCACTGCAGCACAAATTGAAAGCAACTGCAGCAAATTCTTAGAATGTAGAATGCAAAGAATTTACTAAACTATATAGTATTCAGTTTCGAATTCAAATAATTTATCCAAAAGCAGTAACATAGTATCCAACGAGCATGAAATTAAATAGAGATACAGGAATGAAGGAAAGGTGGTATTTAATATGAAGTATTCCATTTCACACTAAAGAATTCCTGCATTACAAGTAAAAAAAAGCAACTCCAGTTGTCTAATCAATCCAGAATCTTATCTAGCTAATTCAAGGAGGATCCAACACAGATGGCTTCAACAACTTTCTTTGTTACAGAAATCCAAGAGTGCCTCCTATCCTAAGAAAGACACCTCATGAAGCAGGCATGACTTTTAGCGCTCTTAAGCTGCCCTAGCAGAATTCCCTGGCTGAACCACTGCTTCCTACCCTATGCTTTGAAGATGACACGTCAACCTCTGACCTCAGTCTTGTGACGCCTGTGTTTGCAGAGCCCAATGTGATTGCATATCTAGGACGGTGCATGTTTACAGTTTAATGGATCCACTTTAACAGCCTTTGTGGGTGTAATTAATGGTACAGTTCTTCAAATATACATTTTTATAGACATTTTTTACTTTCTTCTTTGCTGCCGCTCTTGCAATAATATTTAAACAGCAATGACGATAAGCTCTGTTAAGATATATAGTGTTTGTAGGCATTTTTTCCATTATTTTGTTTCATTTGTTTCCCACTGAATAGTTCCATCTCAGCTCACTGAATGACTACGCCTGCTCTTCATATCCTTATCAGGAATCAGGATATGGGGACACTTTGCAAGCTCTATAGTGTCTGACAGGAGGGTCATCTCTGATTGGAAGACACTTGCATCCCTTAATGATGTCACTGCAAGCCCTTGGACTGTACAATGGCTGACGCTGCGCTCTGACCCAAGGCTTCTCTCCCTGTCTATGTGTCTCATAGAGAGCAAGCTGGGGTATGCGAAAAGACGAATTCCTAATGCAAGAAATTGTATAGGGCTAATAAAGTGATGTTATGTTATGTACGTGTCATGACTGAATTCTGTTGACACATGCTACGTCCATTTGGATGCGAGGCCTGACATTCAGTACTACACACAAGCTGACATCTCAGAACAGGGATGTGCAATCTAGAACCTGGAGATCTTGTCAGTGTCTGCAGATTCTCATTTCATTGCGGCTCTTAATGACCTAAATTGCCTCATTGGTACTGTAGTTCACTGGACCAATTTAGCAACTCTTCCCAGCTCTTTAGGTGCTCACTCCTTGAACTGACCTAGAAAACCTTCAGTCCTGGTTAAAAGCTTGTCATCATGTGAAAATAAAAACAATACATTAAGACTACATTTACTAAAAAGAAAATCTGCAATTTGCTTTTTAAAATCTTGATTACACATTATTGCAAAATCTCAGATGTGACATGGAACCTAAATACACCATGGGTTTGGAGAGTTAAGATTCAATTTCTCAAAAAATACTTCAGTCAGGAACTAAAGATAGGAACAAATGTTTTCTGTAAAGGTTAAAAACAAATCTATATTGATGAATAAGCAAGACTGCAATAACATTATGTTGTTATTGCTGGAAACTAGGCCAGCTTTAACTATCAATAATCCATATTAACAACCCATTATCCCTGATAACCCTGAAATGGAAACCTTTAAGAAGAAAAGCCACACTAGG